CCCAGTGAATCGTTTGGGTTGTCGCTCCCTTTTCCTCCAATCACTCAATGTTCCATGTCGAATATACTCGTCACTCGATCTGACGCAGTTTTTAATTATTTATTTGTTTTTCCCCACGTACCAACAACTTTGAATTTTCACTTGAAAATAGAGGAAAAAAAAAATCAAGCTCACAGGAGGTAAATGAAAAATGACGTACTACAAAAAAATTGAATTCAAGAAAAGAAATTCCCCTTTAAAAAAAAAAAAAAAACTATCCATTCACGAGGTATACCTGCAACGGATCAACAAAAACGCGCATAAGACCTTGGAGACGACACGACGTAGGTATAGGTACGATTTCCCATCCGCTAATAGCCGCGCCGGCGGTTAAACAGGTACCAGCGCGCCCGACGAGGAACAGACCCGCCGGGAGATAAAGAAAGATTGATTTTTCTCTTTCTCTCTCTCTGACGTGAAACAGCGCTCTCGACGCGCTGGATTCCTCCAAAAGAGATATATATGCACATGGTGGGTGTATCTCTCTCTATAGGCGCGTGGGCCGCAAGGTCAGCTTCTGGGCCCTTCGGAACGCTCGGAATGCGCCCCTTTGGAGGAGAGAAAGTAAGAACATCTCCTCGCCTCTGCACGTATATATTTATACATGCGAAACTACTTCCTCCTTTTCTTCTCGATGAAACATAATATATATACTGTACACGGCTCGGCTCGGGTCCTCCCTGTTTTTTTTTTTTTTTTTTTGTTTTTCCCCTTCTCTTGCTCCACGCGCGTGCACAGTTATCGCCCTTTACTGCCTTGACATATCTCTTTCTCTTAGCGTCCTCTTCCCTTTTTTTTTCTTCGTTTTCTTTTCTTGCCACGCAATCGTTCGGTCAAACGGGGATAATATCTTCTTCCAAGTTTCGAATTGCTCAATGAGAAAACAACCCAGAAACGCCTCCAAAGCCAGATAAGGGCACTGGTGTGCCTCGTAGCAAACGCAAGTACTTTATATACTATTACTACTAATTTAATAATCTGCGTCCACGAGTCAACATGTGCATATACATCCAACCGATAATGGTGATGTTATTGCGTATCGACGCGGCCAAGTGCGTACATGCATTATCTCATTTGTAAGGCCCGACGTGCCCCTTATATCCATCTCCGACCATAATGTAATATATACACTCACGATCCGAGCCCCGAAATATCGTGATTAGATAAATTACACGCGTAGCTGCAGTTCCTCTTTTTCTTCTTTCGTGATTCTCTTCGCTCGACCTTCGGGCCTCTAATTACATTCCGATTATCATTTATATTTCCTACATTATACTCCTCACGCATGCACAGCCTATAAATATAGCATACGCACGGCTTCAAGGCCTATTGTCATCATATACGTATACTTATTGTATAATCACGTAATAATTATATATCGTTTGATTTTTGTGTTTGAGAGACGCAAATATAGGGGCCAAAATAGTGAGGTGGTAGTAAACAGGGCCTTCCTCCGATACGCATATTAGGTATATACGCTGGAATTCCCCATCCCTAGAGAAGACGATCGCTGGGATTTTCAACTCTCCCCCGGTGCGCCGCAGACGCGTGTTTTCGTGTCGTACAATCCCCGTCTTTTGCGTTTTTCTTTCTCTCTTTCCTTGCGCGTCGAGCTGTGTATTATATATTTATATAGTATTCTCCTCAGCGGAAAGACAGGCCGGGGATTACCCGAGAGTCGCCGGGAGTGTCTCTTTGTTGTTTTCGTCTCTCTCTCTGCTTCTGCGCGTGTTTTCACTGCCAAGTGATGTATACACCGAGTGCGAGAGGCCCCGATGTTCGTGCAATAATTTCACACGGCCGAATAATGCCGTATTGGTCGTGCAGTAAAACGATGAGCCCTCGTAGAGGTACATTATTATATGCCCCGAGATATTTCGGGTTTTACAAGCCTCCCCCCTCTCCCTTGTCTTTGCTCGTGGCTGATGTGTGCGAAAAAGTCTTGGGATGTTTTTCACCACACCGTATCCCGTTTGGGTGTGAAACGGATATGTACAATTTTGGTAGAGATGCTTGGGTGTTGTGGATTAAGAAAAGAAACAAAAAAAAATATACATATATATATGCTTTAAGATATACTGAAAATAATCCCTGCACATGACGCCAAGTGCCTATATGCATAATTACACCCAGTGGTCGAGAGTCACATGGATGCAAATTACCGGAGCGGCTGACGAAAGAGCACGCATTGCACACACGCATTCGCGGGGAGTCCGACAATTTTTCCATCAGCCCGAGAGCAGGAGGCAGTTCCCTTTCTCCACCACCACCTCCTCCTCCTCCTCCTCTTCGGGTTCTCTCTATACTCTTTCCCTACACCCACGCCATCCGCTCCTTTTCTTTCGCGTGTAAGTATATATACAATGTACGCGACGGTTGCCACGCATATCCACTTCGTTTGCCATTATTCCGGAGACGTGTGTGTTTATCGTTTTCTCTTTCCCTGCTTCGGTCAAAAGTTCCTCTGTACGCGATTCTCGTATACCGTTGCTTTTGTTTTTTTTTTTTCTCTCTCTCCGATATACTCCAAAAGTAATTTCATCGTGGATGTCACAGCTGACAGGACACGGCGATTGATTCTCTAACTAAAACAATATATATACAATAAATGTATAATCAAAACATTTGTCAAAGTGACAATAAACTTCACAATTTCCACTCCGTTCTCTCTCTTGCTCTCGTGTCTTTTTTTTATTCTTCCTTGGAAGCGTGTTGGTGGTGGGGGGGCCACTTTGGCTCTCTCGCGAGCACACATGATTTATACATATATTTCGCGGCAGGAGAAAAAGAGAGAAAGAAGAGGAGGCAGACTCGGGCGCGTTTCCGATGAATGTGTATACACACACACACACACACAAATTCATGCGTCTTTAACGTGGGTGGCAAATTGAATTTCAAGCGGAGGAGGAGACCGGCAGTCGAACATCGAGACGTTATAGCCTGAAATTTTGAACCATCAGCTGTACGGCTGACCGTCGTTTTGTTTTGTTATTTTCCCTCTTTTGTCGTCTTAGTTGTTGTTGGAGGAGGGCCATAAAAGTCGCTCCAACGAGCGGCAATTGCTCAAATTTATCCGCAAGCGGCTCGATCCGCGAGACCCCCGGGTCGTTTCCATCGGCCGGTGGGTACCTCGCAAACGAAAGGCATATCCTCCGTAAGTATCTTTTTCTCGCGAGTTTTCAAGGTCCCTGAAAAGTCGTGTAAACAAAGCTCTCGTCGCCAAAGCGGCTACCAAGCCCCGAAAGAATAAATCATAAGAAGAAGAACCGAGACAGGAGTGAAGAAAAAGAAGGTATAGGTATGTGTCTCCCTTTGCTCGTTTTAAACAAAACAACAAGATTTTTATTGTCTTCCAGAGCGAGTCTCTTTGCACGGCAATTGATTCCGGGCGATTGGGTGCGATAATCACCCGATAATTGCCGGGAGATACGCGCGTGCGCCGTAAATTGTATTTTTAGACGCAGCTTTCAAGGCGTGTCCAATACATTACGTATGACGTTACGATCGGAGGGAGGAAATCAGGGACCATAAGTTAAAAAATGGCCCACAGTGATTGCGCGACTTTCTCTTGCTGTTGATGGCGCAGGGCCTCGCGATTTCTGTGCAGCGTAAGAGTCAGGGAAAAGATGGCGTGAAATGGCCCCCCGAAGCAGCCGAAACAGTAAACGAACAGTTTAGCACGTGAGCTCGTTTTTAACCGCGGGTTATACGTTAGCTTGAATTTCGTAAGTATGCGCTGGTGCTACTTTATTGTTTGGCCGTTTCAAGAGGCGTCTCAAGGTGAGGACTGATTGATTGGAAGTGTATTGGGCGCGAGTGTACCGTTATGCGTCTTTCGTTTTGTTTTGCCGGAGCTTTTGAGTGCCGTAATGTATTCGCGACTCGTTATCCACGCACCAATTGTGTGGCTCGTTTTTTTNGCCGAGCTTTTCACAAAAACAAGCTAGCCTGTGGTCATTTTGCTTGGAATGTTTGAACTGCATCGAGATATTTAGCGCAGGTGGAGGCAAAGGGGAGTACTTTTATGACTCGCAGTTTTTCAGCAATTTTGGCTCCATACAAGGGATGCTTGGCTGTGAGTGTTTATTGGGGGCTTTAATACTCATTGAGGTGCACCAATTTCAAATCTCTTTGAATCGGTATTCCAAACGTTCCCTTCTATTTTAATAAGCATTCATTGGAAGGTCTAAAAATTCAGTTGATTAAAATTTTCACGGATCAAATTTCACGTTTTCTGCATCATTTACCAAAAAAAAAAAAATGATTTTTTGTTGAAAAAATTTTCATAGTACAGATTTTTATCGGACGAAAAATTTTCTACAGTTTAATTAATATTGAAACACACGTTTTTCCAATACTATTAAATACGCAATCTTTCTGATATCAATATTACTGTAAGGTGTGTTAATCTTTACTCTAATTATAATATGAACTCCTTAAATTTTTATTAGATTAGCCAGTAAAAAAAAGATTTTTTAATGCATTATACTGTTCGAAACTGAAACATAAACTTTTTGCTTGCACACAAATAACCACTTTTAAAAACATTTGAGCATCTCGAATGCAATCAAACTTTTGATAAACCGTGTTTTTTACACCACTGATGCTCGGTAAGTGAATATTGCTGCTTATTGCGATGCCTTTCAAGCTGATAAAGTGATGCGTTTGAGGAAATACCAAATACGCGTCGATGATTAAGAAACCAAAACGATTCTCTCGAGGTTTCAGGGCTCACCGTTCGAATGGGCCGAGAGGCACAGCTCGAATGAGAGAAGAGGACTCGCGTCATGCGCTGCCGCGAGAAGCGCATACATATATACATTATGGATGCGCGGGACAAGATCGAAGAGCAAATAGTTTTCAGAAAGCCATGGAGGAGGAGGCGAGTGGGCGCTTCATCGGTTCCCGTGTACAGGGGGATGGTGCAGTCGGGCGGAAGCGCCAAGTACTTAATGCGAGCTTTACGCTCCAACACTTTCACCGGCTCCTCCTCCTCTTTCCAGTCGCAAAAGGTAGCGCCGAGAGAATCCCAAACTGAGATCGGAGCACTGCACGTCTCCGACAAAGTATCTGTGCTCATGTATGGGTACTGCTTTGATGCTGTAGGCGAGTGCTCGGGGAGTATCGAAATCGAGGGGGTATTGGTTTTTCGGCGAGTAACTTTTGAGATGGTAAACCGAGCCCCTCCCTTCTCGCATACACCCATTCTGTTATTTTATACACGAGAGTAAGAGATACATTTAATTGACTTTCACGCTCAGGTTTCTACTTTAGAAACACCAGAAGCTCCGTCACGACACACGTACAAAGTGTGTATATGCAGAGTATATAATATGTATACGTATAGTAAGTACTAACCTGAGCTCCATTGAGGGTGAAAGAGAGGGTGACCGACGGCCTGGACGGAGTCGTGCTGCAGTTCGCCTTGAGAGTGTCGCCGGGAGAGTAGTGGGCACGCTCTGACATGATCACGGGCTTATCCTTAGGTATGGCTACAACATAACATTTCAAAATCTGGGTCTCGTGTTAAGTACCCTTACAGTTGCAACTTATTTTTCTACATACATGAAAACGTGAACACACTGCTTTTTCTCAAAAATATCGTGCAGACATTTGATTTTATCTCAAGTAATAGTTATGTACATCTCTCTCGCTCTTTTCATACTTGTTGTCATACTGTTGTGTTATTACTGATTTACTGAACGCAAGGGTAACCCATAACGTTTTACAAAAATGATTCAGCTAAGGGATCATGTACAGTGAAGGCCCTAGCTAAAGTACGCTATGTTATTGGTAAAGGCAAGCTGTACCGTCACTGTAAACGATACCTAAGGTTTTAAAAATTTTCCATGTACGGTAACAAAAATCTGTTAAATCAAACATTAGTTTTTAATAAAAGTGGAATCAATAGTTTTGGATACATCAGTAAAATGTTACTTTAATTTCTGATTAGTCTAATTTAATCATCATGATTGGGAGAATTGCTGGTTTTAATAATTAATTTTTTTAGGTAACATTAATAGAGATATTCTGTTATCCAAACATAGAGTTTTTATTACTTACAAATTTTATTTTAAATAAGCATAATTAATTAAACTTTGTTGTTACGGCTCGATCCAAACAGAGACATTAGAAGGACACATATTTATTAAGCGAGATTGATCCAAGTTTTCTAGTATCACTATTAAGTGCTCTTTTCTCGTATAAAACAAGATAGTAAATTAACATTTAAAATTGCATTAACTAATTGAACAGTGAGACATATTGACAAGTTTTCTTTTTAAGGATTCGTTTTTGCCAAACAACTAATCAAACGTTAATCGACACAGTATTTAATAATAATTTGCAAGAAAAAAAAAACTTAACATTAGCAAACGATGCAAACTCAAGTTTTATACTTATGGAAGAAGATAATTAAAATTGTTGATACTTACAAACTACAGTGAGAAATTTCGAGCTCTTTTGCGTGTAAAAGCTTTCCGAGTCAGTAGTCGTTTCACAACTAAAGTTGCCAGTAAGTTGGAAATCTACATTTCTTATCACTACTTGGTTCTCAGTTGAAGTGTGCGGCTGAAACGAGAAAAAAAACCATGAAAAATGAATAATTTTTTATCCTCGGGCTCGCGACAAACAACGAGAGCTCGCATAACCAATTGGAATGCCTTTTGTGCTCTTTGTGCCGCATATATGTACGTTAAGCTTGTGCGATTGCACAACAACGGTATGTATTTACGTGTACAAGAGTTACCGCTTTCGAGCTTGCACTGCTCGTACCGGGGAAACCCAATTTTTCTAAAATTGCGATGCAAATAGGCACCCCCTCCTCCAGCGAGTAGGAGGAAAACCTGCGCCCGTTTAGGTATACGCATTATATATTTTTCCCCCCGCAAAGTCGAGAGAAAGAGATCTCGTGCGCGTTTCGAGCTCGAGGAAAAACGCGGCAGTCGGGGATCGTTTGCCAAGTCGGGCTTTCCCCGTCTGCGCGTGTTTTTCCGTTCCACATCTTTTTGCTTTCGTTGTTTGTACCAGAGGCCAAATGGCCGTGTATTATAGCTCTCGTAACGATTTGTTGCCGATCCCGAAACCCAATTGTATTTCCTTCGGTAAAATCGTCGGAACAAATGGATCGGTATTAAACAACATTTTCTGAAAAACAAAAAAATAAAGTATCATCCCCGTCGAGTTCTCTAAACGAATCTGCAAAAAGTCGCCACAAACCGATCTCCCAAAAACGCATCATCCCCCTTTTTATCCATACGTTGACTTTGTATAATATTTCCAAAGAGAATATACTAGATAAAAAAAAAAGAAACCCGCATGCTACCGATCTCTTACAAATAGAAGAAAAAAAAAATCAACAGAGACAGTCGGACGTCAACAGGTGGTCCACCCGAGAAATCGGGTGCGTTTGCGACGTATATAATATATAGTTGTGTGCTCGAGTGATGATGATGATGATGATGATGACGATGTTTCGTGCCGGCGACGTGCAGTCTGGCGGAGAAAGACTCCGTGATGATGATTGCGATGACGAGTTCCGATATCACACGAGAAGCCACGAGATACCGCGTCGCGTGTGCGCGTATTAAAACTGGACTCGAGAATTTTATCATCGGAGTGTAGCAAGAAAGGGCTGCGATTAGTTGCCGCAAGACTTTGAACAACCGGGATGCTTCGGTTAAAAAGATTCGATAATTTTTCAGTCACACCTTGTACAGACCATTGCTTTGAATTCGGAAACCTGTAGCGCTTACGCACTTGTTGACACGTAGCAGCTAAATTCGTACCAATGCTTGTTATCGTTCCCTGCAGACTCGTAGGAGTTCAATAACCTGCAAACTGTAACTTTGTTTACGTACGAGTATGTGACCCTGACGGAAAATTACGTATAAACATTTGCAACTATACTCTTTCGCTAAATCTGCGACAAGTGTCATCTACCTTTCTAAACATTGTTTTCTCAATAGTTAATTTCATATTTATACTTTATGTGTTATACTTTTGGTCAAAATTCATTGAATCATGGTACAAGTTACTTTTTTTTATTTGCTTAAAGCTATGGAGTTCTCAAGTGGTGAAAAAGAAAAAAAAAAAAAACAAGCCACTTGTTGGAAAGATGAATTGAAACATTGGATTTCACAAGACAACAGAATAGCTACCGGTTTTTTGGGCGCGGAGGTATACGCAAAAAATATACAAGCACACCCAGGGTGACGAACGAAACCACCCAAAAAAAGTGGTCCAAAGTACATGTAGGAAAGACTGCCAAAACTATACCATACATATTGTAGGATTCTCGATCGAGTTGGTAAACGAAACAAGCGTCGGAAGAGGGAAAACCGCGATATCGCGACTTCTTATCGCCGCCCGGTGAACAAAGAGCACGCGCGCTTTGATAATCGTGTCGACGTAGCACACACACACACACACACACACACACCGGGAGTTTGCTCTTTTCCTTTCTTTCCTCGCGCAGCAGTGGAAAATCGTCGACCTTCCTCCGGAAAGAAAAAAAAATACATCGAAAACGGTACCAGCAAGTGAAAAAAANAGCGTTATGTTTGGAGTTGAAAAAAAAATTTTTTTTTTTCTTGCTCTCATGAGGTCTCTGTATATTACTGATTAAAAATTCACTTTTATCATTCAGCCATGAAAATCCGTGGCGTCTCGTAAAAAACTATAATTAACAAAAATAAGTTTTTTCACTCATGCACCGATAAATCACTCATATAGAGCACGCGTAAAGTAGACTTGGGTTAATTTATCGACTTTAAAAAAAAAAACCATTTACGACCCATCGCACGATCCGTTTCAATAAACGTCGTCAGTATATACAGTTTTCCCCTCTTTGAATCAAATTCACACCCTGAAAAAATATCGAAGCACAGATTTATAGTTACACACGCAAGTTAGGGCGTGCGCAATCGACTGACGCGAAACGAAATTTCAAGGACCACTGGCCTCGTACTCCTCTGATGTATTTTTCTTTTTTTTTTTTTTTTTACTTTCGCGCAATGACGATTCGACGGCTCCCCCTGATGAATTTCAATACCGAAGAAGTCAAGGTCGTCGACTCGCCCAACAGTCGTTTGGTGAGAGCTCGAGGCCTGCACCCGCGGATCCTCGGAAAAATCGCCGAGAGCACGCGTATGATTTCGTTCCGAATTGCGGTTTTTCCCGCGTTACCGTACGTACACGCAAAGCCGCTTGGCAAACACATGAACGTGTGCTCTCGCGTGCGCCGAGTTTATTCAAAATACCTACGTTGACACTCGCGAAGCGCGGCTCTCTTGCGGTGTTATTACACGTTATATCATTATTACACACGCGACGAGGAGTCGCCGGTGACCTTCGGACGACGGCGAGTTCTCACGACTCGGAGCTTTTTTTTTCTTTTTTTTTTTTTCTATCTTTAGGAGATATAATATATTATCCCACCCACGCGCATCGAAAGGTGGTTTTAAAGGTCGCGCACGAGAAGTGTCTGTACGCATCTCGTATACTTTTATCGATGGGTATTTTAGGGGGACTCAACAGATATAAGTAAAAGTTATTAGGGTACACCTTCTGATCGAATCAGCTGTCAATATCGAAAAAATAATGGGTTTACGATACATATGGTCCCTGTACGCTTATTTTACCATTTTTTAACAATTGGCACGGTGTGACCGTAAGCCCAACAACATTTTTAACACAGATTTAACATTAGCTAGTTTAAGTAATAGTCAGGATCACGTGGACTTTATTGTTCACGAAACTTATGAATAAAGATTGGATGTACGGTTTCATTATGGACGATAATCTTGGGAAGATAGCATCGTTGGTCCATCTTTGCATATGAAAAATATTGACGCGAACAAAGCGGCGTAACAATACGCTTTTGTATACGATCGATCGGTAGATCGGCCAGTCATCTTATCATCGCGATAGTCGATTTATTTATTATCTTTTTTTTCTTCAACGTGGACGTTTCCGGCACTTTGAAAACGCGCGGCTAATTTTTTTATTTTCGAGATCCGTTTGTTGTATATCTCGATATACCAAGGCTGCGTCATAGGAGTTTTTTTTTTGTTTCTCCGTTTTGTAAAATGATAAATACCAGCTGCGAGCGTTCGATCAGCCAAGTCGGAAGAGCCGAGGGTATGCGTGTTGTTTTCCTTCTCGAGACTTTTTACCAGGAATCGCGAGTATTGTTGAGTTTCGTTGTTTTATTTTTATTTTATTTTTATAATTCAATTACTAAGGTGTCGTTTTTGCAGTGCAGGTACACACTCGCTTGGTGGTAGCCACGTACTTTGAAGGGAACTATACTTTTTCTGACCACTTTTGATCTACAGTGAAAAAAAGGTTGCTAAAAAAATACCCATCGGACAAGAAAAAACACGTCCGGCTACAAAACCAACATCCATCAAAAATCCATCATTCAAAATACACCAGATTGATTATCGAAAGCTCATCGCTGAATTTCCACATATACCGTGCGCCTCTCTGACGCAACGCTCGCGTAACCACCCCCGCGGCTCTTTTTTCATTTTTCCGGATGCATCGGTGCTCCGACCCATTTGGAGACCTGCCAGTCTTTACACTCACACGTGCGAAGCGACCGATGGGTGGATACGCACTGTCATCCGCGTTATGGATTACACGGGATTAAATGATAGGTGCTGAGCTTTATGCAGCTTGCACGATGAAAACAAAAACAAAAAAAAATTGTGTAAGCTCTTTTTTTTACCAATTAGTCGTTGGTGTGACGAAATCGTCAAAGTGGTGGAAAACGACACGCGTCGGTTAGGTGAATATTATTTGAACGAACAAACGAAGCCAAGTAAAGCGAAAGAAAAAAAAAAAAAGAAACGTTAAGTCCAATTTTAGCGAGAAATGTAGAAAGAGCTTTGGTTGACGGTCGAAAAGCCGGGTTGTAAAAATTTTACCGCGCCCAGTGATGGGAGTAAATATGTAAGCCGGTGTACACTCGGAGTTAAGAAAGAAAAAAAAAAAAAAATTCCAAAGCTCACCGGCGACACGCGCCGCAAACGTGACTCGGAATGAAAATTCCTCTCGAAGCTCTTAGTACAATCAACGAGGGGAAAAAGAAACTTTGCTTCATTTTATTTTTCCCCGCGAGACCTGAGCGCGCTATCGTCTCGGTGTATTTACATATTGTCGATTCTGTTGCAAAACAGAGGAAAAAAAAAGCCTTACCCAGAACACGTCCTGCTCCAGTTTTGACGAACAACGGCACCCCGGGTCCGCTATACATATACACTTTTTTTCCTCGGAAGATGCGAAGATACTCTGCTTTACTTTTACGAAAAATCCTCACGCGCAAATTTTTATTCGCAATCCATCTTTGGGACACTAAAAAAAATTTTCCAAGCTGGTGGGTAACGCGAACAATGAATATAGATACGCGCATCTCGAGCGTTCGACCAAACCCGATGGTCCCCGTGGTTTCTGCACAATAACAATTTGGCTCGAGGAAGATTGTCAATGGCTAATTTTATCCGCGGATGTCGCGATGTATACTCACGCTCATTGGGATCCGTCACGAGCTGCTGAGTTGCTTTTTGCTTAAGACAATTATTTTAGGGCAGGGTACAAAAGAGTACGACAATAAACGTAAAAGGCCCAACAGAGCTGATTGTGC